ATAAAGAAAATGTTTTTCTGAAACCTACATCACACCAGACCGCATCTCACGATTTCTAAATAAATATCGATTAACGGTCACTAATCACCACACATAAGTTATAAATAAATATGAGAGTAGTTAACATGAACAAATAAACAGATAAATAAATTCATTAAAATATGTTTATACCCAGTCATCCAGTATTGTAAATAATATCTTTCAATTAACTAATTTTTTTAATTGAGATAAAAAAAGTCAGTGTCACGAGCGGGATTCGAACCCACGATTTTCGGCTAAATACGCCGCTGCTCTAACCACTTGAGCCATCGTGATTCGATCCACTCGGACACTAACTTCCCATCTCAACCTTACCTTTTGCATTTTCCCTCCTTTTTGCCATTTTTATCTCAATGGCAAAAAGGAGGGGAAATTCAAAAGGTGGGGTTGAGATGGGAAATTAGTGTCCGAGTGGATCAAGCCGGGTTCGAATCCCGCTAGTGCCATTGACTTTTTTATCTCAACTGAAAACCTTAATTAATTGTAATATATTAATTGGTCAAGCGGACCACGAAACTAGTGAATTATTAAAGACAGTTTAAGACCTCCAGTCCATCACAGGGACTCAAATTTATGTTTCTCCTTTTACTTATACTGACTAAGCGTAGAGGACTTATAATTTCTTATGTGTGTTTTCTTTCTCGTTTCGTTTTTAACTATAAATGGAACTTCAATTGTCTGAAATTTCTAGTAGTTGGTCTTGTAATATCAGTGATCACTTAGTAATAACCTTCGTGTTTATTTTACCTAGCCCTTTCTCTGATCCAAGGATGACGATGAATTTTGCAATCTCTCGATATTTGCAATTGTTATCAAAAGTCAAGGTGGAAGGAAAAGGCAGCGGAGAGCCAGCCCGGGAATCAATATCAAGTCTGAGACAGTTATTAGAATATCTTAATAGATCTAGTGTCCCCCAGATCGACCCCCTAACCCTTTATGCCGCCGTCTTAATTATTATCCTCCCTCCCCATGGCAGGGGTTGCAAATGTAAATACGATGTCGAGTACTGTTGATTTCGTCCTCCTCAGTATGTATACGGGAGTCGCGGAAGGGCGATAGGACTCCGTCTACGATACAGGGTGGCATCCGGTTTACTTTTGAACCGACCAGATCCATTTCCTCCTCCCTTCTGGGATACTTCCGGTCACAATCACGGCTGCTCGTGCGGTGAATTCTTAGGTGAGCAACCGGAGAACTCGACAGAAATTCAACCCGTGTAGACTGTTTTCTATTTATAGTATTTCTATTTGACTTTTCTAGGAAATTGTAATGAACTTACTTGCTTTTCACAAGTTGTAAAGAATTAAAATAGAACTACTCTGTTTTATTTTAATAAACTATCTTCCTCACGTCCTATGTTACTTCTCGTCATTAAAGCAAATAAATATATTTAAAAACATATAATAACTGTAATATTGGGGGCGATGGTGGCCGCAACGGTTTAGGCGTTGATACGGCGCTCATCACTGTAAGGTAAAGGTCCCAGGTTCGAATACAAGGCCGCTGGATTCTAACCCGACATACAAATGGGTTTTTTTTCAAAAACACCGGCACCCTGAGAGTTTATATGATCTCTGCTGTTTCGAACCCTCATAAAAAAACCCTTTAAAGTACATTAATTTTTGTAACATTCGACGTCTACACTTAGTCGATTGTATTAAGCCATCCTATAAGTTACAAATTGAACGCATCATCGCCGTCACCATCGTCATCAAATCCTAAATTTATTTGTTTTATGTCAACACTGATACTGAACTGCCTTGTCCGTAATTCAAGAGTAAATAAAACTCATCTAATTTTATCTCAGGACAACTTTGTCCAGACAATTTGTAAAAATTTATTTTCCTTTATAAGTACACATTATAAGTACAGTAATGTAAAAAATAACAGACAATTAATTAAGGTTTTAAGTTGAGATGAATAAAAGTTAATGGCACGAGAGGGATTCGAACCCACGACCTTCGGCTAGATACGCCGCTGCTCTACCACTTGAGCTATCGTGACCTCGATCCACTCGGACATCAACTTCCTATCTCAACCCCACCTTATGAGTCTTCCCTCCTTTTGCCATTTTTCAAATGTCGTGTAATCGGTTTGGATTCTCGACGACAATTGAATGAAATGGCGACGGAGAGCTTAGTGAAGTGTACTTCATTTTTTAATCATTAATTCACTAATTTCGTGGTCCGCTTGACCAATTAATATATTGCAATTAATTAAGGATTTTAGTTGAGATGAAAAAAAGTTAATGGCACGAGAGGGATTCGAACCCACGACCTTCGGCTAGATACGCCGCTGCCCTACCACCTGAGTTATCGTGACCTCGATCCACTCGGACCTCTTTTGTCAAGTGGACCACGAAATTAGTGAAGTAAAAAATAACAATGACAAATGTGTGTTTTTTCAGTTATATTTATATGAAACATTCTTTTAAGCTATTTTCTTACTTTACAATATTGTTTAATACTTAAGTAATTTTTCCTTTGTTTTCTTATTTTTCCTTTTATATTGTTATATTTTTTATAGCGAAAATATCTATATTTTTTTTGTAAAGTGGATTATAATTCCGTCAAATATACTACTATTAATAATAATATATTCTCTATTCTATATCATCTCTCTCTCTCTCTCTCTCTCTCTCTCTCTCTCTGCCTTTTAGTAAAATAATTGTCATACATTGTATTNCTCTCTCTCTCTCTCTCTCTCTCTCTCTCTCTCTCTCTCTGTTTGTCTCTTCTCTTTCTCTCTCTCTCTCTGTTTGTCTCTCTCTTTCTCTCTCTCTCTCTGAATATGAAGAAAATGTAAAATGTTTGGGTTTAACGCTTAGCAAGAATCTATCATGAGATATACAGGTGTTAAAAATCAAAAATCAAATCTACTCGCTCGACCTTACATAGATTTAATAAATTGTTAAGTTTTGCAAAATACAATGTAAATATCAAAAAACAACTTGTATCAACTCTAGCCTTTCCACACATAACTTATGGTCTAGGAGCTATGTGTGACTTAAATCGTACACAAATCAAAAAATTGCATGTAGGGTTAAACATGACATCAGATATATCCTGAACCTGAAATATGACAGTTGTATATATAACAAGTTTTCGCAACTCAAATTTCCCAAAATTAAAGATTTAATCGATTACATCTCATGTAAAGTTTTTAAAATTCTAAAAATTAAAAAACCAAAATATCTATATGTGAAATTTAATTATATGTCTCAGATTCATGATAGAGATACTAGGTTTGCAAACTATCGTCTGCGTGTAGTTAAGCACAAAACCAAAACGTATAATAGGTCATTCTCAGTAAAAGGTGCAGTAAGGTTTTCGAGAATCCCTACACACATAAAACGTTGTAAAAATATCAAAGATTTCCAGAATCGTCTTAAAAATCATCTGTTATCTAGTTATGATTGATGTCTCAAATTTAACTTTCTTTTTCTTTCTTTTTTTCTTTTTCTTTTATAAATATTACTATTTAGTGAGTGAAGTTTCATTTGTAGATATATATTGGGATTTACAATTGATTATTTGTCCTGCATTGTATTGAAAATTATTTTTGTTCACTTATTTTCTTTTATTAGTAATTTGATTTTTAACTGCTCAGCTATTATGTAAATTAGGATATCTATTTCAGAAACAAATTTAATTAAAAGTTCAATGTGAAAGGAATAGATGGAACATATTGACCACGAAAATAAAGTTATTCGATGTAATTAATGTTTAATAAATTAGAAGTAACTTAAACTTAGAAAACATTGTATTTCACATTAGATGTAAGAATGGTCCTTGAGACCAAATCTTGTGTGATTGATAAATAAAACATTCATCATCATCATCATCTCTCTCGCTCTCGCCCACTTTCTTTCTCTCTTTGCATTTGCGTAAAATAATTGTAATTTATATCGATAAAGAATGTCCTAACACCTTCCAACGTACCATTTGTTTGTTTTTATTTTACGTTTTGTTTATGTTTTTATTGATTCTTATGTTCTACAAAACTATAAACTTACAAAAAAATGCATAAAACAATTTATCGTCAAATTGTTACTAAAAACCAAAATAAAAAATATTTCCCTTCATTGTAAATTTTAATTGTAAAATACTTTGAAAAGACGAAAGGAGACTGCATGATAATAAATGTATAATGTAAACTATATAAGTAAGTTAAGTGTAAGAAACGTCCAAGGGAACTAACGTTTCATGATTAAATAAAACTAACAATCAATCAGCTGATCTCTCTTTCATTTTCATTCATAGAAGAACTTTATTGGGCTATTTGTAGGACAAAATTTCAGATTTTGGTTGTTTCTGTATTTGCGCGTGCCTAGTTCATCCAAAAATTTATTAGACAAAACAACCAAAACAGATCATTTTTTTTGTTCAATCGTTGTGTTTTAGAACGATAGGATGTGGGGGGGGGCCGCGGTAGCCGGGTGGTTAAGGCGTCAGACTCCGCTAGTAGATCCCGCGGTCGTGGGTTCGATCCCCACCGTCGCCTCAGGACTTTTTCTGACGCCGAAGAGGACCGGTGGCCCCATTGAAAGAAATGGACACGGCACCCATCAATGGAAGGGGCGGGATCGGATCTCAGCGACCCTGAATTTGGTCCCAACCCCCTTAAAAAATGTTTTCTTTCATGGAAGAACACCGGTACAACGGGGGCTCAAGTTTACATTTGTGTTGCGAGCCCTCCCCCAAAATATGGAGCCAGGGATAAAGTACAATAAGCTGTACAGCTAGCTTCAGTGCTCAGGAGGGAACTCCTTCAGAACCTGGTATAAAGAAAAAAAATAGTGAATTAAATGTTTAATGTTTGTTTATGAAGGTTGAACAAGTGGCGGATGCGGGCAGGGGGTTGACTGGGTCAAAAGCCTCCCCCGGCCGCTGAAAAAAACTGTCGAACTTAGTACTTGTCGGGGGTGGGGGGCAGGTGAACCATTTTGTCCTCTCTGATTGGGCGTGGCTGGGGTGGGCGGGGCCTCCCGGTGCGTGGAGGGGGTAAAGGGCAGAAGCCCTCGGCCTGTTGTCAGTGGAGTGCGCGGCGTGCTCGGGCGATGAACTGAGGGGCGGAAGAGAAAAAAAAAACCCGACTTTTTCCCCCATTTCATCTGTGTTGTAATGTTGCCGTACCAAGCTGTCGCTATGGACTACAGACAGCAGGCGGCTGCTGCTGCAGCTTTCACACACTCCTGGTTGGTACCGGCGGCGGAACTCTATGTACCCTACAAACACAATACAGTTGAGCCAGGGCATGTTCACTTTTTTTATTTATTTCTTCTATATACACCAAGTTTTATTCTTTTTGACTTTTTTATATATTTTGTTTACTGTTTCCTTTTATGTGTGTATATGTGCGTGTGTGTGGTTAAAGGAACGCGCGCTTTTCCGTCTGTATGTCGTTCTGTATATACATTTTGTCTTGATATACATGTTTTCAATTTTAAACACACCCCCTTGCATTCAAACGTGTTTTAATTTACCAACAATTTTCATATTGTTTAAAATTACCAAGCACGCATTGATAAATTATATCAGCAATAATCTATAAATATTCTATATTATAAAGATTGAAAATTGGAAGAAAGTACTATTTTTTCTGTAAAAAAAACTATTTATTTGAATATATAAAGTAAGAATGTCTGGAGATGAAGATCATCAGAAAATCATAAATGAGGAATAGGTAAATAACAAAATATACAGAGAAGCAAAAAAGTGGCCACCCTTAATCTTTTTAATGATCCCTTAGACAATCTTCCATTAATTACTTTACTATAATATTTGGGTCCGTTTTAAAAGCTTAGAGGTAAACAAAAAATAAAAATCTCCCATTTATGTTTATAGTTTCATTTTTTTTTTATCATTTTGTACTCTTCAACTACACTGTGATACCATCGGATGTCCTCTAACTCGAATCCCTATCCAACTTATCTCCGATACCCAAAAAAACGATTATTCGAAATCGTGAGATGCGGTCTGGTGTGATGTAGGTTTCAGAAAAACGTTTTCTTTATCGTTCCAACGTTTCGATCTTTATTGCGATCATCTTCCGGGCCTAGGATTTACAAACATTGTTTTAATTTTACAAATACATATAAATTCACTTTTTTCCACATCCTATATATATTTGTTAAATTTAAACAATGTTTGTAAATCCCAGGCCCTGAAGATGATCTCAATAAAGATCGAAACGTTGGCACGATAAAGAAAATGATTTTTTTTTAAACTACGTCACACCAGACCGCATCTCACGATTTCCGAATAATCATAGACTAACGGTCACTAATCCACACATCCAAGAAAACCTTGAGCAAATCTAAGGCTGGTGCAAAAAGTGGATAACAAGTCTGAATTTTAAAAAAAATCACCCATTAATGTTGAAAAACACTTTTGCCCTTCACTGAACATCAACAACAAAAAGATACCGAATTTCATTCAAGTCCAATAAAACACAGATAAAAATCTTCCACTTGTATTTATATGGATTTTGTAAATAATTTTTTGTTGGCAATCTCTTCTTTGTTGGTTTTTCACTAAAGCTAACGTTCAATTGGTTCGATTTTTTTTAAGACGTAGCATTTTTAAGTTTCAAATTTGAGCGATTTGTACAATTTTATTCTGCTGGACTACCTATACGCCGTGATACCATCGGTTGATACCGCAATTTTGCCCTACAACTCGAATCCTATCCGACTTACATCCAATATCCAAGAAAACCTTGAGCAAATCGAAGGCTGTGGAAAAAGTGGATAACAAGACAGAATTAAAAAGAAATCACTCCTTCATATTGAAAAAACACTCTTGCCCTACACAGTACATGAACAACAAAGAGAGATTTTCATTCAAGTTCAATAAAACACAGATAAAAATCTCCCAGTTGTGTTTATAATTGGATTTGTAAATACAACTTTGTATAACCATCTCTTCTTTGTTGGTTTTTCACTAAAGCTTTTTTCTAACGTTCAAGTGGTTCGATTTTATTAAGTTGTACCACTTTTAAGTTTGAAATTTGTTTGAGCGATAAGTGGTACAGATTCTGCTAGATTGGTAGCATTGTTGGAAGATGGAAGAAGTCAAGCGTATGTGACCAGGGCGCTTAACATTCCCAGAACAACTGCCCGAAGGGTCTTCTGGAGGTTACTCAAGAAGGCATGGATCAGGTCGCCATCGTGTCACATCTGGAATGTACTCCGTGATCGACATTGAGATCCAGCAACGACTTAAACGAGTTAGAAACGTTAATTTCGGTTTACGCACTGTAAATCGTAAAGTTCCAGAAGAAGATGGATTACGTGCGAGAAGTCCTGCATTGGTACAGAACAACTCTCTGAAGTTAAGAAATCATATCAATTGATCTGAGCAAGATTGGACTGAAATCTTGTTTTCGTAGGAGTCGAGATTTTGTTGGAGGTCTTCTGATGGCCGAAATAGGGTTTGGAGAACAGCTACGGAGGTAGTGGTGTTATGGTTTGGGCAGACATTTTTATGTAAGGTCGAACAAACTTGGTCTTCATCGAGGGTGCATACAGTGAAGATGTGTTATCAGAAGTTGTTCCTTATTTACAGCTAATTGGCGACGGTTTTAGGCCCCACTCAGCTGGGATCGTTGGCGACTACTTTGGATTATGTCAGTTCAATGTTTGGAACATGTAGTCCCGACTTAAACCCTATCGAAAGATGTCAAAGGGGGTAAAAAGTCGCTCAGGGATGCCAGAGAATTTGCGGGAATTCTGTTGGAAGAATATGAAAATATTCCACAGCAATACATTCAAAACTTCATAAAATCCAAGCGGCGATCAACGTAAGAGGAGAAACTCGTTTGAATATTTTCTTCATGATTTCATAGGAACATTTTTAGTAAAATTGTTTACTCAGTTTAATTTTTTATTTAGCCTATATATATTTTTTCTTTTAAAATATCCAGTAAATAACCAAAAATAAAAAAAATATATCGATTGCAAGTATTTACTATTAAAAAAACTAGGGTGGCTACTTTCTCCCCTCAGTGTATATACACAAAAAATGGAAAAACCATTTATTAAATATTTTATATCTAAATATTTTTATATTTTGAAGTGCAGTTGATGCATCTGCAATTTGGACATTTGTGTCCATTCCCTGCTTGTTTTCATTTTTACTTTATTTTTATAAAATCTATTATGTTGAGTGGTCTATTGACCGAATTATTTCTTTCAATTATTTTCTATTTTTTTTATATATCAGTACTAAGCTGGAAATTCAAGGGGTGTTCGGTCGGATTGTATAAAAGAACTGGCCCAAGTAAAATAATACACAAACTCAACGTTGAAGACGGCGGGAATCCGAAACGTGTTTGTCATACCAAAACTGCGATAACTATACCAAAATCGTTTAAACAACCGAACTGCATATTCTTCAACACGCAGGTCCAAAAACTAAACCTCAGTTTATGGCGTAATTGCTCAAAATTTGAAAATTGAAATGTAGCAACTACTATTAAAAAAATACGTTGAATAAAAAAATGAAATTTTTTCTCTGCTAAAAATTAAATATATAATACAGTTTTGATCGTTCATAGTTTTTATTGGATGTTACATGATGATAATTAATTATATATAGGCAGGGTATTAACCCAAACTCTCTCAGGTCAGAGGAAATTTTATGTCTGAAAAATACATTTGTTTTATTTATGGATTTTTTTAGGCAATGATTTATTGGTTTTTATGCCTTTAGATTTCTCAAATAATTCAAAAATTGCCTTCGTTTTTGTACGCTTTTTTGGAAATAATTAGTTATACTTATTTATATGCCTTTTTTTGAAGATGGTTTAAGAAGTTTTCGATCTACGACGTTTCGTTTTATTTTTGGAAAATATTTTAATTTTATATTCCTGTTTTCCTTGATTAAATCAAAGTAAATATTAGTCATAAATTAATTTATAATTTTAAAAAAATTATACAAACGTATTAGGTATTTAAATAAGAAAAACAATAATGTAAAAGAATAAAAATATTTTCAAAAAATTAACGATTTACTTGAAAATGGTCTGCCAAGTAGATAAAATTTTTTTATAGAAAATAGTCTAAGTTTATGTATTATATTATAGTCTATGTTTATGTTGCTACAAATCTACAAAAATTAGTACTGTAAATACTGCAAGTTAATAGTTAATAAGATTTATTTTATTACAAAAAATTAAGTTAATGTTTGGTAAACGAAGTCGCAAAATATATAGGTTTTTAGGCAAAAAAGTTAAAATAAAATTAGACGTTAAAAGCAGGAGAACCTAAATAATTAAAAATCAAAGGTTATGGCAGCGTTTTATCATTTTACTACTATAATAAGTACATTTTATTAACATTAACTAAAGTCTTCAGCACTTAATTCATGACATTTCCACCAAGCCTGATAAAAATAAGATTAAGGTCTAATTCTAAGTCCATGTCGATTTAAAGAGAAAAAAAATCAACTTTAGAATTTTGAAAATTGGCAAGAAACTAAAGTATCAACTCGAACCGTGTTTAGCATCTGGACGTACTAGACCATATATCAACCATATCCTTGTACTGTAGTAATCAAGCAATAACTAAAAAGGTGTGGTGATTAGTGACCGATAGTCGATGATTATTCAGAAATCGTGAGATGCGGTCTGGTGTGACGTAGGTTTCAGAAAAACATTTTCTTTATCGTGCCAACGTTTCGATCTTTATTGAGATCATCTTCAGGGCTCAAAGCGTTTTCTGCTTAAGAGTGCCATTCTTGCGTGTCGTGTAACGAAAAACAAACACTTTGAGCACTGAAGATGATCTCATTAAAGATCGAAACGTTGGCACGATAAAAAAAATGTTTTTTCTGAAACCTACATCACACCAGACTGCATCTCACGATTTCTGAATAATGAATGACTAAAAACCATATTTAGAGATTTCGAAAAATTAGACATATTTTCTATGTTAATTCTTGCTAAACCAAGCAAAGAAACCCATTGGTCTGTGTCTGTTTCTTCAATTCTAGTATTTCTAATCGTTAATTTAACTTAAAATTTTGATTGAAATAATAGAATGATTATGGCTTGCCCAACCATTAGAAGGCAGCTTTCTTTTATAGCATTATAAATACGTAATGATTATACAACCAAGGTTACAAATCAGAAATCTTCAAATTAAGAATCATTACTATTTCATCATAATAATTACACCTAGTATTAAGCATACTGAAGTTTTCAACTTATTCCTCAATAAAAACGAAAATTATATTTTAAATTTTAAAAAAG